TAGTATATTACTTGTGTGGTGTAGAAGATAATTATTTAAGAATGTAATTATGTAAGAATGTTAACACTCTGTTATAATTTTTTTAGTATATTACTTGTGTGGTGTAGAAGAGAATTATTTATGAAGAGATACTGTTTGCAAACCAATGATGTAAGATGATGTCATGGGGTAGGACTGGATAAGTCTGACTTCTTCCTACTCCATTCAAGCATGTACTAGGTATAAGCAAATTGATATTGGATTAGCATTTGTTGGATATGTGTAAAATTATGTGTGTTGATATATCAACTGTCTTTACATGCTTGAAAGAATAAATAAATCAAAATCAATATTTACTACATATATCTGCTGATAAGGAGAAAGGAGACCTTTGACTTCTGTTATATTAAGTGAATACAGACCAGATGATTCTTGAAATTAGTTTAGTCTGAAGGCTGGTGGAGTATGCACTGTACCTGCGCATAGGGCAGAGAGAAAGCAGGCATCTGGGCTCTCATCTGGACTGTGTGCTTCTGCTGCTCCAGGCGCATCTGCCTCTCTTTCTCCTGCTCCTGGAGGCGCTGAATGGCCAGCTGTCTTTGCATCTCCAGGTACTCCTGCAGTTCAAAGACAAACACTTATATGGCAATGAACAGCGTTATATGTATCTGCATTTTTATTGGAACCCCTCATTACCTGTTTCTTCTGCCTCATGATCTCCAGTTTTTGTGCCAGCTGGATCTGTCTCTGCCTCTCTGCTTCCTCTGCGGCATGGCGCAGCTTCTCTCGGTGTTCATCACGGAGGGCATTGAGAGCTGCTCGAGCATCACGCACCTGAGCCAACTTGTCCTGCAGCCCTTCATAGTACACTGCCAATGACAAACACAATATGATATTTCAGAGACTGGACACACAGAAAGATTCATATGCACACACACAATTGCAAACACAACACTCACATCGCTTCTCATCTAGCTGGTTGAGGACGTCTAGCAGCTGTGGATGCATGTTGTTGATGGACTGGAAGAGGGAGAGCACAGCACTGTCGTTGGTGATGCTGCGCCCACGCATGTGGTTGCTCTTCATGCGGTTAAGGAAGGTGGTGACAGAATTCTGCAGAGCCTTCAGAAACTGCTCGTGGTTTTCCTCCGACTCCCCATTCTGGTACTGCTGCTGAAGGTGGAATGACATGGAAGCAAAGAGCAGAGTCATTTGTTGCTGGTCCAGTGCAGTTCAGCTACACCAAATACCACTTCTGACATCTCCTCAGCACAGCTTTTATCATACCTCCACTATGCTGACTGGCTGGACAGGGACGTGACCTTCTACAGGCTGACTGACTGACGGAAGTGGCTCAGCCAGTGGTACAGGGGCAGGGGCTGAGGGAGTGGGGCTTTTGCGAGCCTCTTCCTGTTTCTTCTCCCAATATGTTCTGTTTAGGTACCGGGCCAGCTAGAATATTGGGACACACACATATCAGTATTTTAAGTATGATGTAGCATTTCCATTAGTCTTCAATAGAGCCAGGACTGAAGACAAGACAAAAAATATCTACCTCAGGGTCTACATCTTCAGCTGATGGTGCAGAGGAGTTCTGGAGAGAGTACACAGTTCATAAAGGTCAGTAACAAAAGATGCTTAAATAATTTCTAACATAAAAGGAAAACTGTTTGTCTTTGTTTCAAGGTTAAAAAAATGTTTGGTAGTGTAAATAACTGGTTTTGCCAGAGAAGTCTTACCACAGGGGGAGTGTAGAGGGTGCTGACTGGTGGTGCTGAGGAAGTCACTGGAGTGGGATCAGCTTTGGGATACACCGAGTACGAGTTCTTGTGCCTCTGTAAGTAGACGTACAGCTATCTGTCAGTTTTCTCTATGAACAGACCAAAAACAAGATAAAGTATCAGCTGTACAAACTCACCATCCGCTCCTTCTCCTCAGCCTCACTTTGGGAAAGGGCAATGGCCAGCTGCAGCTCCTCCTCCTCCTGCAGTGCAGCCTCATCTCTCTTGGGAGGCATCTGGTGACAGAAAAGACTAATGGTAAGATCCAGGGACACAGAGAGCAAAAATGGCATGAAAGAACCCCAGAAAACATTGGAGTCTGGAAACCCATGCATGGATGAAAGGATGCAAAACTCCTAACACAGGGCAGAGTGAAGACAAGAGGAGTGCTTAATATAGACATCAGCGTTCTGCACATTTAATTCAATGGCAACCTGTCTGACCATCAACTAAGCCATCGCACTGTTCTACCTGTAGTTTCAAAAGAAATACCTGTGACTGCTGGGACAGAGGACTAGTCAGATACTCAGGAGGCAGTTCAGCAGAGCCCGAGGATGCGGCTTTTCCTTCAGCTTTCCTAAGTGGAGGAGAGAGGGAGGGGTGGCTGGTAAGGAAAAGGGATCAGGGAGGACAAACAACCTTGTAAATTAGAGCATGCTGCTGGAAACGTCAAGATCTCTCCACAAACAGGACAATATGAGAAGTGCACCCCTCTGGCAATGCTGCAAAGTGCTCTGTTACTGTAATAACAGGAAAGACATGTTTTTAATCTACATCCAGATTTCACTCTACAACAGACATACTGACAGAAAAGTAATACAGAGGTCTGGAGAACACTAGGGCTGCCCCCTAACAGTTGAATGGCCGAGTCATTAGTCGAGAGACCTGTCAGTCAACTGAGACTCTTCTAGTCAAGCCTTTGTTTTTATTTTATTTTTTGTCAGCCAGTGTATGTGTGTATAGATATATATATATAAAAAATGAATAGTTGTACTGAGGAGCAGAATACCAAAATCCTTAGTCGAGTACAGTGCTAGAGAATACATAGACTATGAATGTTAAAGGTCTGTAGGATTATTTGTGTAAACGTTCAAGTAAGTCACTCTCACTGTAAATGAGTTGTGGACATTAGATTTTTTGCACTATTTTGCACTATTACAGAGCTTTTTAGTAATTTTGCAGCACTGCTCAGAGTAGATGTAAACCTGTAACATTTAAACTGCATAATGTCTTCTTAAGGGCTGGTGACAAATTAAATAGGGCATGGCATAGAAGTTTGGTTTTGAAGGTCACCCATATATTATGTACCAATTTACAGTAGGTAAAGACTGAACGAAATCTGTTGTGAACAAGTATTTCACACCATTGAGAATGGTGGAAAAATACACAAGTCACCACACGGTTGCTTTATTCTTCCATTGCTTTACTAATTCTAGTAAAAACAGACTTCAGCAAAATCCTGTGGACCATGAAATCATAACCTTCTCAAAGAAGCAAGAAACCAGCATGAACAAAGTGAGGGTCAAAGCATGAACAAAGATGAGCGAAGATGATTAGGTAGGGTGACTTAAGTTTAGACAAGCCAGTCCATTCAAGCTACACAACTGCAGATGTTGTGATTAACCACAAAAGAAATCAAAGCACATGTATAGAATAATTTACAATACCAGAAATGCTATGCTGAAGCTAATGAAGTACTTCTCAACATTGCTGGAGACAAATATAAAGGTACTGTCCTTAGCCACCATATTTCACTGGACTCACTTGTTAAGCAGCTCAAAGCAGGGTTCACACACACGCACTTCCTTCTCGATGCCAAATTTCGGAATGGTGGAGTACTTAGACGAACACTTGCCACAGAAAATCTGACCACAGGCTCGACAGTGGTGCTGGAAAAGGACAGAAAACAAATCAGTCAACTTCCGTACATGCACTATGGATATAAACTCCACTTCACCGCTCTAACTGAATGAGACCATAAAATCTCCAGGTGCCCTAGTTAAAAGAACCCAGCCTACCTTTCTTGTCATGACCCCAAACTGGACTCTGCACCGGTGGCACTCCTCAGCATCTACCCAGTCTGGGGCCTATTCAAAGTAAGTAGCAAATATTATTATAAATATGATGTCACAATAAAGTTACTAGAACTAGTGTACATACAGTACTTTTCTAAATAGTCCACCACCACCATTCTTTTTTGGTCTGTATTTAACATACAACTCTTAGTTCTACAGGTAACACTCACTGAAACCCAACCTGAGTGAAACAAGATATAAAAAATATCTTACTCTCTCAGCTTTAAACATTGCATCACTTTCCTTAAACTCGGGAAACACATGACCTGTTGAGGAAAAAAGAAACCATGATTTCTGCAGTGTTCACTGAATTAGACCGAAGTCTTTTTAAGACCTTAAAACAAGATAGACTGAAATATGATACAGGTTACATGATCAAATCAGTAGGGGCAGTAAGGCATACAATTCACGATTGAGTGCAATAATAATACACCACATTTCTGTCAATATTTCCCAGCTGTATATGACAATAATTCCTAGTACACACCAGTCACACTTGTAGTTTGTAACACCTTTCAACAGCCCACAGGTACATTTAAACAATTACTATTGTTCCCATCTAATGGAGGTACATTTTATAAAGACTTAGAAATACACTTAAAGGAAAAAAAAAAACCCAGTACAGTAGCAAAACAATATGTAATAGTAGCTGTGTAGTATCACAAAATGAGCTCTTATTCTCAGGATCAGTAAATATTGTTATAAATGTAATGACTCTCTGAATAAATGACTTAAATATACATTTTCCTGTGTTTTCTTAAAATTACCTGTACAGTAGAAACATTAACCTGGGTCATTATACTTCAGAGATTCTTAGGTTTCATTTCAGGTGAGAAGAACAGTTACAAAAGACAATTTACATGCATTTGTCCACTTACCTTCCACTTTCATAATTTGATAAGTGTCTTGAACCACCTTGTATTTAGGTTCGTTGCGGAAGGCATGAGCCCAGGCCTGGATCAGGTATAGGATCTTGTTTCTGACATTTGGTTCTGTCTGCTTCTGGTGGCAAATGAAACCAAAATGTGTCTTTATGCCTTTAAGTCTGTTCTGTTTATGTCTTCATCCTCTGTGTTGCCACATAACAGTGGCACAACTGAGCAGACTGAACCACAAAAACATGATTGATGATAAAAGCGAGGTGGGAAACACCTCGCTTTTGTCTGAAGGAAAAAAAACTTCCTGTCACAAGTTAATGACATCATCAGGAAGTTGAAACCAAAATGGGCTGCAGAACCTGTGTCACATGGTACAGAGAGAATCCAATCAAAATATTGCTGCTCATGTTGTAATGCAGCTGGCTTCAGTTATCAAGTCATAAGATGATGTTTAGGCCAAAATACTGCCAGACAACTCACCCTGTCTATGTGTGAAAGGTTAAATGCAATTTCTCTAAACTTTACACTACTTGCTTATGATTTACTTTGACTGAGAACGGTAGGGGAATAATGCATAGTTGCACAGACACTAAACTGATGAATTATTAAATAAGTTGATTGACAAAATATAAATCAGCAAACTGGTTTATCTTTTCAGTCATTTAATCAATCAAAAATGTCACACTAGGTTTAACATCATAAATGTTAGGATTTGTTAAGATGATCTGAATACCTGTTGGACTGACTGGTTGAAGAGAACAAGAAAATCTTATCCTGGAGTCTCGGATCTAGTGGTGGACATGTAACTTTTTTTTTTTTTTTTTGACTTTTGAAAATTTTTAATTAATTATGTATTAATTAATAATGCAAATAATTTTTAGCTGCAACACTAAACCTAATTCTATATATGCTGCAACTGCTCCAGTCCACCTGTGTCTGCAAATCTAGCTTCACAATGAAAAGACAGAACTGAGTGCAACCCAGGTTAAAACTTGTACAATTGTATGTATACGAGTTATGTGGGGACCACTGTGACCTGGACTCAGCAGTATGTTATAGCTTCTTTCAGTTAAGACTTACCTTTTCTTTTAGAGACTCTGAGAAAGCGATCCATGCTTTTATTAGTTCAAGGTTGGTTTACTGCAATGCCCTCTACATTGATATTAATCAAGCCTCAGTATCACATCTTCAGTTGGTTCAGAATGCAGCAGCTTGTCTTTTAACACATACATGCAAATGTGATCATATCACTCCAGTCCTTTCTTCACGACATAGGCTCCCAAGTCTGTTATAGGATTGAGTTTAAAATATTGCTGGCAGCCCCTAAGCTCTGGAACAGCTTACCCCATGAATATTGGATCCGTTTCAGATTTGGGAGTGCTTAAAATGTACTTATTTACACTGGATTTTGGCTAATAATTAGACTGAGACATTCTTATTTGTATTTATTTATTTTCTTCCTTCTTTATTTTATAAGCAGAAACCTGGCTTCTGCTTGTGTTATGTGTTTTAAAATTGTTTCTATCTTGTTGTGAGATTTTAAATGAGTATTTCTAGTGTCTTAGTTCTGTGGTTCTGATATTTGTGAAGCACTTTGGTATGACTTATTATTGTTGTAAATAAGCTATGTAAATACACTTTGATATGATCTGATTTATGAAGTTCAAGAAACGAATTAAATGAATGTCACCTTGAGTAGATCCTTCAGTTCCTCCATAGTTTGTTTACTCGCCACCTCATCATGGACAGTCTGGCCACAGTTCTTCACCAGTGACTCCAGGACCTGAAAGGTGAAGCCACATCATTATTTACTACACAAACTATGTCATACATATTCAATTAAAGTAGTCACCTGTTTGGGAAAAAAATGCTGTGACAAAATAGCATGCTAACAGAGGGAACAGACAGCACAAACATAGATCGCCAGTTCGTTTGGCTACATTTCACATATTTTAATGAATTCTTTTACCAGGTAAAGGAGCAACTATTTTCCAAGTGTGCACACGTTACCTCAAGTGCATAAAGAGCCACATGTGGATTTTTGTCATTCAACTTCTTCTTAATGGCTCCAATAGCATATTTAGCTCTGCAAAGAGAAAAAGATGTTGCTCAATAGGATGTGCAGCAATAAATTAAAGCTGCAAACCTGTTTGGGTTTCTACATTTGAGAAAAAAATACACAATACTCACTCGCTAGTGCAGCTATTTGAATAAGAATGCAGTGGGAAGTTAGCAGAATCACTCACTGAGTGTCCCCTTGTCGAATGAGATCACAAATCTGTAGAATGGATTCCCAGTCGGTCTCCAGCAGAAGCTGACTGGTGGCTTTATCTGGAATTAATACAGACAAATACATATTTTAGATGTATCATCTGTCCAATTCCTACCACACAGTATCTGCTACACCAACATGTCAAGTTAACGTTAATTCTGACACCTGTATTTTAACAGAAAGGGTTTTAATTTGGTATAACGTTCATCTATACAGAGATAAGTAGCTAGCTATTTGTGTTAGTATCGGTTTGCTAATCAACCTGTCGTGAACAAAAACTCAAGGCAAAACTACAAGTCACAAACAATAATGTTGTGCTTGACTGCTTTCGGGCCAGTCACATCGTAGTATCAGTAAAACAGTAATATCATTAGCGTTGATGTGGGTCACTCGCTAACGTTGACATATTATCGTGTCAGCAAAGGGACTCGAAAGCCCGATTTAGCTCGACAAAGAGCACAGAGATAACACAAACGATTTGGCTAACGCCGCGTTGACTAAGCTGAATAAGATAAGATGGAGAGAAGGCTGTTCGCTAGTTAGTCGGTTGCCAAATTTAGAAAACCTATCTGGGCCTCCAAACAATGGCAGCCAATTTGTTAGCAGGCTACATCTAGCTGGCCCGAGAGCCACAGCCCCAGCGTCTGTCAAAACAATACGTTACGCTGGAAAACGTAGTTGGCTAATAAACTACCAACTCTGATGAATGTGCTGATAACTTACCCAGAAGCCTCTCAAATGTACCACCGCCTTTCCCCATATTAAAATCAAAGTAATTAGCTGTTGGGCTTGTCTGACCAGCGAATCCTGCTATTTTCACAGCTGAGGTTAGAGGTTAGCTGTTAGCCTGTTAGCTTCCCTGCTGGCTACGGAGCACCACTCTAGTGCCTCGCTCTACTTCCCGTTTCCGCCACAGAAGCAACAACAAACAAGGATTTCTCCCCCTAACGACCGAGAACTGAAAAGCCAAGTTCATTTTTGAGAAAAAAGGTTGATAGAGGTGGCGTTAGTCCTAAGTACATTTATGATTGCACAGTTATAAAATCAGTACTTTACTTCAGTATTTACATTTCCTACTTCTTTCTACTTCTACTCCACATCTCAGTGGGAAATTTAAGTACACATTTACATGCAAAACTAAATTAAGTTACTAGGCAAAATGAGCAACTGCCTAAAAATCCAAGTGGCACCATAAGCACCAAATTATTTAGTTTCAGAATAATACTTTAGAAATCTGTAATGGCCACAAGTTATCAACATGATAAAGTGGTTAGAATTAAGTTAACCTTGACTGACTGCAACAGTAACACCTGAATATCTTTTTTTCTGACCTCAGTGGTTGAAATAGTGACTTTTTGTTATTTTGTTTGCTTATTTTGTATCATGGAAATGTCTTGAAATTAAGCTTTAACTTTCATTCATTCATGTAGTTTTTTCATTTCATCTGTGCATTTATTTCATAGGGTTCTGATAGTACTTTAATCCCTCATGAAACATCCCTTTTTGAGATGTATAGTTTAATGAAAGAGACCAAATTTATTTATGTGCATCAAATCATAAATTACCATTTTAAAATCAGACTTATAAAACTGTTCTGGCAACTGAGTGGTGATCTTAAAGAACCTACTTGAACAAGTCCATGAATCCCTATCAGCTCTATCAGTGTGTAATATGCCTTATGGATAGGTAACTATATTAGTACACTTACAATTACAATAATTGTTACTGTTACCTATTTTCAAACCACTAAACTAATTATTTACAGTACAAATGCTCTTGTCTCACTCTATGTATACTTTTCATTTTACAGTTACAGTACACTAAAATAGCACAGACTACCTTACTGTATTCACAACATCATTCACCATTGGTATAGGCCTACTTAGGTCATGTATGAGTCACTACCTGGCACTTGGGACACTGGTGCCCATTGTTATTGTGGTGCTGTAATGCTCTATACAGTGGCATTGTGTTACCCTGCTCTCTTCTGTTATGACCAGAAAAAAAAAGACTTCACAACTATGAGCAAATTTATTTTTTACTTCAGATAGAAAGTAAATCCCAGGGCATATTTTCTCAGAAGTCAATGCAGTTTAGGAGATTTACAGTGCCTTGCGAAAGTATTCGGCCCCCTTGAACTTTGCGACCTTTTGCCACATTTCAGGCTCCAAACATAAAGATATAAAACTGTAATTTTTTGTGAAGAATCAACAACAAGTGGGACACAATCATGAAGTGGAACGAAATTTATTGGATATTTCAAACGTTTTTAACAAATAAAAAAACTGAAAAATTGGGCGTGCAAAATTATTCAGCCCCCTTAAGTTAATACTTTGTAGCGCCACCTTTTGCTGCGATTACAGCTGTAAGTCGCTTGGGG